TAACAAGAATCCTGCTTTGTCTTACTCATCATTTGTGCTATCAAAGTAGCAAACTGAGGAATTGTATATGAACCAACTGTAGGAGAAAAACTATATATAGTTGTCTAATTAATATTTTGTCCATCTGTCATATTTGGATCTGGTGGGTTCATGATCACACAAAATATGCAACTGAACACAAATGCACATAAATAAAAATAATGAACAATCATACATATTTGAAACTACCCCACTAAACTTACAGATCAATTCATATTACTTTGTTTTATGATATAATTGTAAAACTATTGCTCTGATATCATAAAAGATTGTCACAACCCAATCCAATCAGGACAGATCTCATCTTGTTGAGCTATGATAGGTAAATCTAAAGATCTAGTTTTGAATTATTTTAGATTTTTTTGTCAATATTCATTAAAATAAACTAGAAACTGTAGGACTATTAAAATATTTAAATTCTAAAAATAAATTTATTCGTCGGGTTTTCTTCATTTCATCAAAAAAAAAATAAAATTTGCACTACAATACATGGTTAAAGGCAAGAACTAGATAACTAAAAATTTAATTAGTCATGACTGTACAAAAATTAAAATAGTAAAATACATATAACATAAAACTTGATCTTGAACTTCTAGCTCACAATCCCATTCTCCTTCCCATATCCTAAAAACAAGAAGTAAAGCAATAGTGAGCTATAATAGCTCAACAAGTCATAAAAATTAATCTAAAATTTTAAATATTTTTTTATTAAGTATTTAAAAAAAGTTAAATGTGGTTTAAATAAATCACTATACTGAGAGATGTAATAAATGCATAAAACTTATTCCCTTATTTAAATAATGATATTGAACAAGTAAATAAATTGAAATTCATATCACAGAGCAATTCATGTCACATTTCTTGGACCCAAATAGAACCTCAAAGGATTCTAATCTCTTATGAGTTCCTTTTTATTTGTGTTTATAGCACGAGAACATATTACACATTCTTGTCTCAGATAAAATCTCAAAGAATTATGTCCTCTTATAACTTCTAGCAATTTCTTGACACATACAAAATTTCAGAGGATTCTGGCCTCTTATGACTCCCAGCAGATATAATTTAACTATATAGCCCATTGGCTCTGACATAACAGAAACCCACCTTGATTATCCACTGACACCGGCATAATATAATCTCTCCTCGATCGCCAACTGGCACCACATAACAGAAACCCATCTCGGTTAACTAAAATCGCTCTATGACTGTCAAAGCCTAGCTTCATTCATTCTCTCCTCTCTTCTCATTTTCCCCCCCAAATGTTCTCTGTTAGCGGAAATAATAAGAAAAAAAGGGATTTAAATGGTTATTTAAATAAAGTCTATAATGGTTTTAGATTATTATATAATATAATAATATTATTATAATTAATTTTTAGTATAAAATTCATAGAAATACTTTTAGAGATTTTAAAAATTACAAAAAAAATATTCATAAATTAAGTCATTTTATTTAAAAAATTATGGTGAAATCGGTTTGCAAAATGGACACATAACGATCCCAAAAATCTCACTTATACCGCATGTGTAGATTTTTAAGAAATTTCAATAATGCTAAAAAATTATGAAAAAATCAGATAAGCTAAAACACAATACTATAAATGTTCTTGTGAAGACAATTTGTGATTTAGATTTATAATGACTCTTAAAATAATTATTGATTGTTTTAGGTCAACAATTTTTTTTTTAAAAAAATTTAAGGGTTTCACAATTTACCTACCTTAACTAAATGTCATCCTCAACATTCCTAAAATAGTATCAAAATAAATCTGGATACAACTATCTCATCTTAGATTCCTTCTCTCAAGTAGTCTCTATGACAGTTTTATGCTTCTACTATGTTTTGACTTTATGAATTCGTTTGCCTCTCAATTTTCTCATATCATATGCCAAAATTCGTTTGGGCAAGGTCCGCAAGAGCGACAAAGTGAGGGAGGGTGGCGCAAAGATATATATATATATATATTAATGACCTAGTGCCACAGTGCTTTGACCTAGCATCTCAGTGCTACATGCAGAATTCCAAATTACTATATAGATAGATACTCAAACCCCACAGTTGGGCACTGTTATGCTATTAAAACTAACTCCACAACACTCATAAGCACAACACCAAAGCGCTTAGTTCAAATAGAAATTTAAAAATTTATATTTTAAAATGTTTTCATTTCCAAGAGTTGTTATGATAATCCATTGAAATTTCTACATTTATGTAACTGTTTGAATCATTTTTGAATTGGATCTTTAGTGTTTGTTTACATGAATGGAAGACCTAAAAATTTTCTCATGAGAGCGGCACGATGTCGGAGTAGGCGGTACCTTGCTCTCCAAGGAGAGCACTGTGGCGCTGTAGGGTGGGTCAAGCGCTATGGCGCTGACTCTAAATCTTATAAAAATATCATTTTTACTTAAATCTTATTTTATCACAAATCAGTTCAAAAATTTAAGAAAAATTCAAATTTTATTTATAATTTTGTAATCTATAAACGAGAATAACTTTGCACCTACTAAACTTACACCGTGTAACTTTTAATATGTTGTAGATACAACTATTCTGCGTATTTAGGCATTTTTTTGAAAAATTTTCACTTGGTAAATTGAAAAGTGTGTTATTTTTATCCATTTAGAAATTAATTTTAATCACAAAAATAATATTGTATTAATTTAAAACTTTAAAATAATGTTATAAATAATCTCTGGTAATCTAATAAAATTTTGAAAACTATGAAATTCTGCTTAATTATCAAATATGTTGCCTATCAATAAAGCATTATCTAAATATTTGAAATTACCTTATTTATTTTTCCTTATATTGGAATGTAATGATATGTGTGCTCATTTGCTTGAAAATGTGATTATGTGAATAACTGATATTGGAGATAATCTTATTGTGATGAATGCATCGGGAGTCATAAGAATCTAAATTTTTAAGTATCCATTGTGTACTAAGTATTTGTAGTCATAAGAGTTCATTTTCTGATTTGTTAACACAACAAGTCATAAGGGTATATTTTTTATAGATAGAGCTATAAGGGCCTCAGAGAAATATATTATTTTTTGCTCTAATATATATATTACTTGTCTATGTACTTCCTCTTTATTATTTATTTAATTTTAGATATATACAAGCATTATTATACTCAGTACCCTGAATGATTATTATTTACCTTTAAAATTCAATTATATGTACAATGAATTAATTATTGAAAATTTTATGGGTGTAGCATGCTGAGTTGTATTGGCTTGCAACTATATGCATTCTATTTGAGGTTAGGGCCTAGGGGAAAGAGCCGGTTGAGTAGCTGTAGCCCTAGGTATTGTTCGTTCGAGTTTGTATATTTATTTTCTGATTTTATGTTTTTTTGTATATTCATAGCTAGTTGTTGCATTATTTTATTATGATATGTAATTATGCACTGTAGTGTATAGTTCTTGTATATTTATTTTAATGAAGAATAAAAAGTAAGAAAACTTATGAATGCTTTTTTTTTTACTTACTTGAACCTAACTAGAAGTTCTATGGTCTATTTAATTAAAAAAAAATATGAAATGTCCCTGAAACTTTGTTATGTGGCTTGACCTATTACCATTCAATACGATGTCAATCATAAGCATCTTTGCCCCCCCTCAAAAATCTTTTTTTCCCTACTTTTATCAATCATAAGCATCTTTGTCAATCCCTCAATTTTTTTTTTGCACACCCTAAAAAAAGAAGCTGGATCCGCCCCTGATGATAGTGTTTGTTGGAAAATATAGGAGTGATGATGACAACGGTCGAAAGATGATATCGGGCAATGACAGCTAGGTGACAGTGGCCAGATGGCGATTAGACATAGACAGTCGGGTGATGTCGATCTAATGATGTCAATTGGACATGAGTAAGTAAATGAATTATAATTGTAAGGCGGAGGTGTTCAGTCGATAACGATCAAGCGATAATAGTGGTTAATAATGACCTTTGATGTCGAACGTTAGGTAAAGCGTTCGAGTTCTTCTATTATCCAATCTCTCTCCAAACTCTAGCCAAGGTCTCCATCCCAACTTCTGTGCGGAGAATAATAATCATAAATTTTTTTAGCATTTAATAATATGTATTATCAATTTCATCACCAAGGGTCTCCATTAGATTTGAATATAAAATATTGAATCTCTCTCTCTCTTTCAAATAATTATTTTGAAGTCAACAACTCGACAATAAAAGTATAATTTCCTATAGTTAATCTCTTGGGGTCTGAACGGCAATCGCCCAAATTCAGCACAAACATTTTTTACGATCATTAGTGTAGATTTTAGGAATCAAAATTTTTTTTTCTTCGACATTTAGATCAATTAAGATAAATTCATATAAACTTCAAAAACATAAGACTCAAATTCTTGATCTTTTAAAATTATAATTAAAATTTTAAATCAACATCTCAAATTGAATTGCGTGGAATCACAAACTCTCTATTGTGCATAGAATTACGATAAAAGAAAAAATCCAAGCACTAAAAAACACGGTCCTTTGCAACAAAACAGCAGAGGGTCCAAATTAATAGTTGAATTAGTAGGAGAAGGCAGCTAAATAAAGCTGTTTTACATTAATTACGTCAAAAAAGTACAATGACTTTTCAAAGCTAAATTCCAAATGCTCTTAATGCACGACTTTCAAAGCATAAAAAATCAAATATGCACTACTTTATCTAGCCTTTTCCAAAAATTTCTTGCTCTCCCTGCACGACTTTCAAAGCATAAAAATGAATACTAACCATTAGCCCCCCAACAAAAAATATTTACATACCTACCATTTTATTTCATATCAGAAATAAAATATTAAAATTCATAAATGATATTGGTGATAAGAATAAAATATAAGGATAATATATTTTATGTAAATGATAAAAATATAATATTAAAATTTTAATTATTAAATAATTAAATAATATGAAATAAAATGATATGTATGTAAATTTTGAAAAAGAAAAGACTGTTCGATTTTCGGGATTTTTTTTCTTAACGAAACTCTCCGTCTCCTTGCGGAATCCAGACGAAACCAGCAGATAGCGGTCAATATAGCGGAGCATCGGCTGCCGAGAGGAAACAGAACGATGGCGGAAACACAGAGCCTAGAGCAATTCAAAGGGCAAGCGCGACTTCCCAAGTTCGCTGTCCCAAAGCGATACGACCTCTTCCTCAAACCTGATCTCGATGCCTGCAAGTTCACCGGCACAGTCGAGATCACTGTCGATGTTGTTGGGGATACGCGGTTCCTGGTCCTCAATGCCGCCGATCTCACCGTGGGGAATGAGTCGATTTGGTTCAAGGGTCACGGTTCTTCAGAGGTTATTGCTTTGCTACTTCGTTTAATTTTTTTTTTGTGAGGGGAAGAAAACTCGGAAGTCCATTGTGCTTATTTGTTTTCTTTTCTTTGTTTGGGGTTATCGCAGAAACTGTATCCGACAGAGATCACCACAGTTGAGATAGATGAATTATTGGTGCTTTTGTTTAGCGATGTCCTTCCGCATGGCGAAGGATCTTTGTGGATTGGATTTGACGGAATCCTAAATGATCGAATGAAAGGGTTTTACAGAAGGTGTTTTCATTGATTCAGCTGCTTTGAATGATGTTTTTGCAAATATTATTTATTTATAATATTTTCCGACAGTGCTTACAAGCATAATGGTGAGAATAAGAATATGGCGGTGACCCAGTTCGAGCCCGCCGATGCTAGACGCTGCTTCCCATGTTGGGATGAACCTGCATTCAAGGTTCAAATTTCCTGCAAATATATATATATATATTTCCGAAAATAGCTAGTAGTAATCGGAAGCCAGTAGAAGGTTTTATGTGGGCTTTATCAGTTGCTGCTTTTAGGTTCAATTAATGCATTGTTTTTGTGGTGTTTTTTTTTTGCTTTCCTTTGCTTGTAAGACTAGATGCATAGTTTAGAAATTCAACTCATTTAAAATTCAATCAAGTTCATTCAAGTTTGTAACATATTTTAATGTTTTTAAAACTCGAACGTTAAATAAATCTAGTATGAACATGGTCAACTCATTTATTTATGTACACGAACAAGCTTATTTATCATTCATTAACTTATTAGAGACTTGATATTGAACTAGATGATAGGTCACATATAATTTGATTAAAATTAGGTAAAATGCCACTTGCCTAATTTTTTATTTAGTAGTAACATATTATATATTTATTTATTATTCTATGTTACTTTCCCAATTATTATATTTTAATTCTTCAATTATGCTTCTTCTTATTTTCATATCTCATCCCATGTTTTCGAGTTCATCATTCTCTGTTTCCCAATTCACCTTTGGTTGCTTGCTTGAGCAAGGGCATGCTAAGATCACAGCTCGTGTGAACGTATTTATAGGAGCCTAGGAGGCGAGCAAATATTTTATTTTTCTCCTTCTTAGCTTGCTTATAGTTGATGCATCGGCGAGCTGTACATGAATACACTATCTTATTCCTTGATAATAATAGGCCCGATGGATGTCGGGATCAATAATGACTTTGAATCCTACAACTCTCACAGCTTTAGCTTTATTTCACGGTTGTATATATTGGAAGTATGACCATGCTAAAAGTAGAGAGTTTACATCTCATATGATCATGATTAATGAGTTGGATTCCATTTCTATAGAGTATGAAGTATATAACATGACATAGGTATCTAACCCACACTATAGGATTTCATGCACAATTGCTAAACAAGATTGTTTTAGTAATTATGAGATCAAGAAGAAGAAATTGAAAGAGTTGTTGAGTTTAGCTGAAATGTTTAGTAGAACAACAAACTTATGGAAACGGGAAAAAAATTCAATGTATGGTTGTTATTGGATATGATTTTAACAAGAAGTGAAAGTTAAAAAAGCTGATCTTAAAGTTTTGTTGATGTTAACCCACCACTTAGAGCTTTTGATACTCATGATGGTCTTTACAAGTGCTCAAAAGAGTGGGAACATACTTGTCAATGACGAATGACGCACCACAGTGCAAAGGTCCTCTTGGTACCATGACGCGTAGCGCATGGCACGACGCGCACCATTTTGAACATGACACAATATAAAATAATTATAAAAAATTGGCTTGAATATGAAATATCGTTAAGCTGAAAGATAAACTATCATAATAATGAAAAAGAACCATACAAGAAGAATATAAATTATACTTGATAAAATCATTTCATCTACTATGCTTAGTTATAATTATAAATACAAACCTATTTCAAGGTCATACACCCATGCTTATAAAGATGGGTTTTTCTTAGGTGCATTCTAGTATTGTGCTATAAGATTCATAAAATCAAGTTCATTGAAACAAGTATGCTTCATAACTATTCCATATTTGTGTGAAAAATTTTAGTTGATGACTTGAAAACCAAAGAGTTTATTGGAACAAGAATGCTTCAAGCTCGGGATGTCAATGTTGTTAAGGGAAGGAAGGAATGCTCGGACGAACAACGAGCGGCGGAAGGAATACTTGGATGAACTAGCTCCGAAATCGCATAAGGAGGCGGAATGCGTGCGGAATCGCGTGAAGGGACCAAAATCCTGTGATGAATCGCAAAATCGGGCCCCCGTGAGGGATCGCCACTTCGATCGAGCGTGAGGGATCACAACTTCGGTTGCCTGAGGGATCGGGCTTGACTTGTGAGGGTTGGGGCATTTGGTTCTTTAGTTTTAGTTAATAAATGAATAACTAATAAATAAATTTATTATTATATTATTTAGAAAGTAAAATTATATAAATATTTAAAAATTATATAATATAAAATTCAAATTGCAAGCGCCGTGCGCCATTGCGCACACATGACGCAAATGGTGCGCACCAACTTGAACATGCGTGCCGCGTTGCGTGCCATGGTGCGCGCCATTCTGCGCCATTGACAAGTATGAGTGGGAAATTGATTGCTAAGTCCTCTAGGGATTGCTTGTTCATGTAGATTTGTAAAATTATTTATTAATCTGAGAAGCCAAGTACTTGTTCAATTTTTAAGCTTATTTATTCGCTCTTTTAAGGATTTTCTTAATTAATTTAGGCAATCAAAGCTCAATTATAAAAAAAATTTAAACAAGCCAAGAATAAAACAAAAATTGGAAAGTAAGGCTCAAGCTTTACCGAAACATGAATAACTCGTAGTATGACCAAACTAAGTCTAATCCGTAGTGTTTTGCTCGACTTGGCTCTATTACAATCCTAATGAATTGAATTAATTCTTTTCAAATCATTTGTCATGCTAGCCGTTGAGATTTATCCAACTCTGTAGTTCCTTAAGCTTGTAACTTGAGGCTTAAGGGCTAGTGTCTTCATCAACAATTGTTACACTATTGAATTACCTAGATGGTTAGGCTGGATGTTACACCAGAGTGAGAGTAAGAGAGTGGGAGGAGCAGTTAAATACTATTTAGGCTAATTAGTCCAAATAATAATTAATTAAACTGATTAAATGAATAACTCTCTTAGTTGTAATTAATCTTCACTTACTCTAAATAATTAACCTCTAATTAAAGTTTTAATCATTTCAAATCAAAATTTATCATAGAAAACCTCACAATATCCATGATATCTTAAGAATGTAAGGGTAAGCAATGTACCTTATAGTTAATTGAAATTAACCAACGCATATATGATGTGTTGGCTATGCGATGAGCTTTTGGTTCTTTTTATGAATAACACATCATAGGTTAAATTAATGATCTATCAAAATAAGACACAATGATCTTATGGTGTATATATATAGTGTTATTGTTTATTGACTTGACATTATTGATTTGTGAGGAATGTATCTTATATTTGTTGACCTTTTAAAAGATCTAGCCTTGGGTTTTAGATTGGCCCAATATAATCTCAATGCATAATCAATGAATAGTTCAAATCTTTAGCCGGCCTTAAACCTAAATATTTTGTTCTCTTAATCTAAACCTTGCTCATCTAATTGAACTAAGCCGATTCAGCAAACTCAAGTATGATATTTGATTGAGTTATGAGTGACTCATAAAATATGTATTTAATGATTTTCAGGCAATCCCAGGTGCAACTATATAATCATATTAAAGTGACTCAATCAATTAAGCTGAGTTCTTAAATAAAATACGATCAACATGATTCAAGTTTTAATCCTTGGCTACATGTCCTTAACTTTAGTTGGATTACAAAAAGATCAAGATGATATGAATCTTTGCCTTGTTTATCTTCTTGAAATGAAAAAAGAAAAAGAAAAATGAAACTACTCGATTCATTGAGAGTGAATATAAGAGCATATGAGTGGATATTCTCATTTTAGTTGAGTTGAAGTACTTTAGGTGGATATTTTCATTAATCATGTGATATAAGATATGTGGAGACGCACTATAACAATCCTATTTCCTATACATAAAAATACATCTCTGATAAAAACAAATTACAATCTACACCATCAACACGGCTACCTTCTCCATATGAATGATTTTGTTGTAGTTGCCCATATCTACTTGTGAAGATGTTGAGTCCATCACTTAAGATCAAGCCTCCTCTAGCCCCAAATGCATCAATTTCTATTGTCCCGCCCAGTTAGCCACATGCAAATCTTGCTATAGTAACTCTCTGTTGTCCCCTATAACTCCACTTGAGAAGCCACCTTGCCGCCATTCTTTTCTATTCACCGCTTGTAATAGCCAACAATGGCATTGATGGTGGACCACACCTGCCTATGCTCAACTACTTCACAATGCAATAAAATTTATTCCTATTACTTTTCCTCCATGTTACATAATCCAATGATGCTCCCTTGCTTTTCCTTTATCCTCCTATAACTTAAGGGATTGGTCAAGAGCATTGTGCTTGGCATATTGATTCCCAATTTCTTATTGGTCAACGTAGTGATCAAGATGATGAAAAGTGGACTCAATGTCAAGGGGGCGAATGCCATTGCAATCCTCCCCCATCTATGTTAATTTTTGTTGCATATGGCATCCTCAGCTCTCTCACACATGTGCTCTATCATCTCTATACATTCACAACCTTGTGATGTCTTCCTCTTCTAGGTTGACTTCCCTCTTGATATGACGCCACCACTCCCCAACCACAAGTTGACCTATAACTTGCAAAAGCCATCTTCTTCCTTTTCCTTCAATGTCACAAAAAATCAGCATAGCTAGTTTCATCTAGGTGATATCATTTGCGGCCCAATATCACATATGGTATAATTATGCTCCATTGTTAATGCCAAGAATAATCACCTGGACCCACATGAAATTGATGTTCCCTTTTCTATTATAATTTCATTGACTACAACCTTCCTCTATTTGGCCAATTCCCCATGTATCTCCTCCCCATGTTGACTCCACCCGCTAACCATAGATCCTCTTGCTTTACCACCAGCCCATCGTCTCCCTCCTCCAACTAAAGCATAGCTTACCTGAAGATACGAAGGTTATTTACATTGATTCCCTTTTCAATGAAGTCAAAGACATGAGTAAAATGAGATATCCCAAACCTTAATGCATCCTGATTTTCCTTACGCTTGACCCCTAATACCATAGATTTACAAGCTTGACTTTGGCCATTGTTGCATTGCACGTTCACCTTCTCTGCTGACCACGATAATCACTAATACTGATCTCTTTGTGAGGACTCTTTTCTCTCCAATAAGTTATCCTAGAAGGTCAATGGGGCTATCAAACCTTAAGGTTACTATGTATGGATTCATTATTAACGCTTATTTTCTTTCCCAACTTCTTCTATCATTGCTGCACTTGCTAATTGGATT